CAGTGAAAGAGAGGATGAGGAAGAGAAGGGTGAAATTTCCAGCCTTGCGGGGGAAAACCAGTCCTAAACCGGCATTTTTTAGAGGAAAAATGAGCTGTCCCATATAAATAATACTTTTTATAATTAGTTTTTATCCTGAAGAGGAAACAGCATTTAGATTTTGTGGCGCTGGATCCCCCTCCCTCCTCAGCGGCTTTTTCTTCCACCCCAAAAAAAAAGCGCCTCAAAATAGTTGAGCCGTTAAAACCCAGCATCTGTCACAAGAGTTTAAATGAATCGAGAGAAGAATCACCACCAAAAAAAAACCCTAAAAAAGAATCAAAGGCCGGACTTGGGAGCCAAGCAGCTGCTTTGCCCAAAAATAGCAACAAGTTTTATAACTCCGGAAAATGTAGAACAAACAAACGGGGCACATTTTTAGCTGAGAAAGGCGGTGGCGGTGGGAGGGAGGGAGGAGGAATTCCTGCCCCTCTGTTTTCCTGGAAGCTGTTCCTCGTGTTCTTGCCTGGATCCAGAGCTTTGACCAACTTGGCCACCGTCCCGGGGTGACAAAAACGAGCCCAGAGCTGCTTGAATTGCCAGGCAGGGGGTGGGGGAGCTGCAGCTCGGCCTCAGTTTCCCCAAATTTCCCCCCTCCCGTGTCCCACAGGAGGATCTGGGTCCCGAGGATGGATCTGAGCAGGAGAAGCCAGTGGGGGAAGGGGAGAAGGAGAAGGAGAAGGAGGAGGAGGAGGCTTTTCTGGTCAGTCTCTACAAGTTCATGAAGGACCGACACACCCCCATTGAGAGGATCCCCCACCTCGGCTTCAAGCAGAGTATGGACTCCCCAAATCCCCTGGGGACAGGGAGACCCTGCGTGTCCCCCTGACCCTCGGCCTCTCCTCTTTATTGCCAGTTAACCTCTGGAAGATCTACAAAGCTGTGGAGAAGTTGGGAGCCTATGAGCTGGTAAGTGGTGTCTGGAGGTGCTGGTGTCCCCTGGGTGCCAGGATGTCCCTGGGTGTCAGGATGTCTCCTGGGCATTGGGATGTCCCCTGGGTGCTGGGATGTCCTATGCACATCACAATCTCCTGTGCACACTCGGCTGTCCCCTGGGTGTCATGGCTGTCCCCTGGGTACCGGGCTGTCCCCTGAGCACCTGGTGTCACCCCTCCCTCCCTGTGCAGGTGACAGGGCGCCGGCTCTGGAAGAACGTTTACGACGAGCTCGGAGGGAGTCCCGGCAGCACCAGCGCTGCCACCTGCACCCGGCGCCACTATGAGAGGTGGGCACACAAGGGGGATTGGGGGGGTGTCTATCCCTTCCTGGGCCTCAGCTCTCCCTCTCAAGGCCAGTTCTCACTGTGCCCCCCCCCCCCCCCCCCCCCCAGGCTGGTCCTTCCCTATGTGCGGCACCTCAAGGGGGAGGAGGACAAGCCGCTGCCCCCCCAGCAAACCTCGCAAGCAGTACAAGGGCTCCAAGGATGACAAGAGCAAGAGGGCCAGGAAGGAGAAGGGCAGGGAGCAGGTGTGTGGCTCCTCTGGAAGTTTTGGGAACAGCCTCGGACCCCCATGTCCATCCCTCATCCACTGGGGTGCGCAGGGAAGAGCAAGGAGGGATGTGGATCACTGGGAAAAGGGAGTGGAGGGTGGTTGGAAAAAGGGAGTGGAAAAGGGGGAATGAAGTTGGGGCATCCAGGAGCCCATCCTGGGATGCAGCACCCACCTCCCAATAACTCCCTCTGCCTGCAGATGCCTCCGGACAAGGTGAAAACAGAGGTGGCAGCTGGCACCGAGGACACCTGGGACATCCCAGAGCAGGGCCGGGTGGCCCAGGGATCCATCCCAGCAATGCCACCCCACTGCTCCAGCTTGGCAATCCTGACCCCCATCCCCTCGGGGGGGCGTCCCAGCCCCTGCCAGACCCAGAGCGAGACCTACAAGTGCCTTTTCTCCAGCTTCTACTCCAAAGGGAACCACCCCATCATGTCCCCGCTAGCCAAGAAGAAGCTGCTGGCCCAGGTGAGCGAGGCTGAGTCCCGGTGCTGCCACAAACGCCACTGCCTCGAGGGCCGGTGGGCACCAAGCGCTGCCACCACCAGCCACAACCCGCCCCGGCCGGCCCCTGAGAGAAGCCCGGAGCCCTCGGGAGCTCAGGATACAGTTCCGAGCATCAGGAATGAGGTGGGACCCTCCACCAGCACATCCCCCGGGGGTACAGACACCCAGGGGTGCCCCCGGGCCGAGAATGGGCGTCCGGCACCTGCCGTGTTCACTGGCTACTTCCATGCCTACCGCAGCGAGGGGCTCCCGCCCAGTGCCCCCCATCCACTCTGGGGGTACTTCTCCAACCTGAAGGATTTTTTGGAGCCGCCTCCTGCCTTCCCAGAGCCAGAGCAGCCCCAGGACCTGCGGAGCAAAGCGTGGGAGAGCCAGGGGGCTGCCGTGCAGGCCTGGGTGCCCCCCCGGAGCCGGACCCGCTGCCAGGGCCAGGCATGGCCATGAGGAGGAGGAGGAGGATGATGAGGAGCCCTTTGGCCCCAAATTTGGTGCCGTGTCCCCCTTCCCCAGGGAGGCCGAGGGCAGGGACATGGGCTCCAGCCCCCCGGGGGGCCACCGCGGGCTGGCCAAGCCCAAGGCCGTGGTGGCCAGTCCCAGCTTTGCTGCACTGCACTTCCCGCCAAGCTTCGGGAGCCCCCTGGAGCACCTCAAAACTCAGGGTGTGCCTGTGGCCCCTGCGCTCTCTGCCAACCCCTTTGTCATCCCGGCCTTTCCCAGCCCCTTGGTGGTGGGCTCCACGCAGCCCCCGGAGCTGTGCCGGCCGCTGGGCACCAGCCCCGGGCACTACCCCAATTCCTACAGGAATTCCCTGCGCCACCGGTCCTACCCATGGCACAGCCACCATTCCTATGGCTCCCAGCACGTGCCAGCCTTCCACCGCCACACCAAGCTGTAGGAATTCCATCCTGTGGAGGAGGGAAAGGCCAGGATGCCCCACCGGGAAGTGCCAGGGCCATCACCGCTCCGGGGCTGAGAGGGGACAATCTAGACCGAGTCATTTTTACTCTTTACTCTTGATCTTGAGCTGTTTGTATCCAACCTTGTTACGGTGGTGACTTAATTACATATCACATAGTTCTATATATATTTTATATACACACCTATAAAAAGGGAGCAAAATGAATGCTGGAGGTTTGTGTTTTGCCAGGGCTGAGCCGGTTGATGGTCATTCTCATCCCTCCTTGCCTGGATTTTTGGAGACTCCCCAGGCCCCCCTCCATGTAATTTGGAGGTTTAATCGTTGCCTCTAACCAGGGCTCCAGAGGGTTTTCAGGGTTTGGGTGTCTGCCTGGAAAATGCTCCAGACCTGGCGAAGCTGGGCCTGGAATAAACCTGCCTAGATGGTCTGAACCTGGCGGTGCTTGGGCTGTCCTGGATTTCTGTGATCAGGGCAGGGTTTGGGGGGATCCTCACCCTAAACACGGAGCCCCAGGGCTGAGACCTCCCTCCAAAAGGAGATGCTTTCCCACAGCAGTTTTGGGGGAATCAGAGCCATTCCATGGAACAGCCGTGTGTCCGAGTGGGAACCAGCCAAGCTTCTTCCAGCTTCTTCTCCAGGTGCTTTTTGCTTCCAGGAGTTCCAGCTGAGCTGCTGCAAATGATCCAAAGGCTTTGTCAGAGCTACAGCACTCACATCAGCTGCTCCCTATCTGCAGGGACAGCGGGAAGGGCAGAGGGATGGTGGCACTTCCTTGGCCCTGGAGATTGTTCTGGCTTTGAAAGGCCACACTGCTGCATCCATGGAAAGGCCAAGTTTTGGGATAGAAATTGGGAATTAATTGTTCCCAGGCAGCACTGATCACTCCATGATGTTGGAGGCTCTTGGGGAAGAGCACCATGGACTCAAGCACTCCTGGATCCTCCATGGGAAGTTTTACACACCCTAGTTTGGGAGCAAGGATATGGCCACAGTTGTCCCATCAAGAGCTTGTCACACCTGGGAGTGAGGCCACTGGAGATACCACATCCCTAAAAATGTCTCAGCCTTAGAAACTGTGGCTTCAGAAAAAGCTGAGGTGCTCGAAACCACAGCAGTGACAGCAAACCCTCGTTGTGTTTGTGGGGATGCTAGAGAAGATCAAAGCTCATCCCAGATGTTTTCACCATCAGCTTGGAGAGAAGGTTCCATGTTTGGTGGAATCCATCAGCAAACCTGGGCTCAAGCTCATCCCATACCCACAACTTTTCCTGTGGGAAATTTTGCCTGGGTTGAACCCAGATTTTTGGCTAAGTAAAATCTTACCCTTTTTTTCCCTAAAAGCCCAGGGAAAAGGGAACACCAGGTCCAGCAGAGTCTGGGATGGTGGCAAAGCTCAGCATCCTCAAAAATGCCGCTCCTTGTCATCTGGTGTGTGAGAGGCTGCACAAGTCCCTGGGAAGGATGAGGAAGTGAGTGGAGATTTCAGCACATTCCTGCCCTTGGATGGGCTGTCCTGGCTCCATGGGTCTCCATCTGATGGGAACTGTGCTCCCCAAAGGCATCTCAGCCAGCAAATGTTGCTTCATGGGAAGCAAAAGTCAAGGGCTTGGGGTGTAGCAGAGCCACGGCCTAGAATGGGGACATGGGGAGCGTTGAGATTATCCCAGAGATCCACAAAAGTCTCATCACAGCTGGTGGTTCAAGCTCAAGGTGTCTGATGGAAATGCAGCTGTAAAGGCTGTCAAGGTTCAGGGCAGATCAAAGCTGAGCCTTTTTCAGGAAGTATAAATATTCCCAAAAGCACGACGAATCAGCTGAGTCTTCTATCCAGAGGTGGGAAACCCTGTGGAGGAGACTGAGGGCAGAGCTCATTGGGGGCAGCTCTGACTCTGCTCCCTGTGACCAGTGACAGGAACGGCTGGAGTTGTGTCAGGGCAGGGTTAGGTTGGATATCAGGAAAAAGTTCTTCCCCCAGAGGGTGGCTGGGCACTGAAGAGGCTCCCCAGGGCAGTGGTCACAGCCCCAAGGCTGCCAGAGCTCAAGGAGTGTTTGGACAATGCTCTCAGGGACAGGGTGGGATTGTTGGGGTGTCTGTGCAGGGCCCAGAGATGGATGGATGATCCTTCCTGTTCATGATTCCCTGATTCTATAAGGGAGGTACAGGAGGAGCTGCCCCCCTGCTCCCAGGACCCACAATGTAGATCCTTCCCTGTATCCATTCCTATTTTGTCCCTCCGTTTCTCTACAACTCCAGAAATCCACCCTCACCACAAGTTCCCCCCAGCTGCCTCTGGAGGGGCTGTGGCCACAAACTCAGCACAGAAGAATAAAAAAGGAAATTTTTATTAAACAATAACAAACCCAGATAAACATCACTCCTCTGCCCAGAGGGCTGCTCCTTTCCCACCCCTCAGCCTTCCTGTGGGTCCCTGGGGTCCCTATGGCTGGCGGGTGATGCTGGAGGAGCTGTCCAGCCTGAGGATGCGCACTAAGTGTCTGTTGGCTTGAGCCTCCCTGGGGTGGATGATGGTGCTGCCGTTGTCCACCATGGGGGGAGCCCTCCCCAGGGTCTCCAGGGGCCCCAGGACGTGGCTCTTGGCTAGGCTGACCCTCTCCCTGAGGTGTCCCAGGGCCCTGTCACCCTTCCCTAGGGTCAGGAGGAGCATCCTGGAGGGGCTTTGCAGGGCAGGTCCCACCTTGGGGTGCACCAGGGTAGCAAAGGGGAGGGCACCAGTGGAGGAGGAGGAACAGAAGGAGGAGGAAGGCTGGATGCCCAGCAGTGTGAGGGGCATGGCAGGAGCCTCACTCATCCCAGGCTTGGTGAGAGCTGAGAGCCTGGCGGCTGACATGACGTAGAGGGTCTTCATGGGGCTGGTGGTGGTCACTGTGGAGAAGGGGAGAGGATCAGCAGTGGGGGACATGGTGCTCACCCTGGGAGCTGATGGGAATTGTGCCCCCCAAAAGCATCTTGGCCATGAAGCAAATGTTGCTTCATGTGAAGCAAAAATCAAGGGCTGGAGGTGCAGTTGAGCCAAGCCTGGGATGGGGACATGGAGAGCACTGGGATTATCCCAATGCTGCACCCTTCAGCTCTTCCGGACTGAACAGAAGGACCTGGCCTGGTCCACTCTCCGGAGTGAAACCCCAAAACAAACCCCAGCGCTGGCACAACCCAGGCAGGGAAACCAAAACGACGAAAACTGGCACCGCTCTACTCCCAGACCACTCAGATTCCCCAAGGAAACCTCCCTGCTCAGATCCCCCAAGGATCATTGCCTTTTCCAGAGTGGAATGTAATGGCTCTGACCATCTCTCCATCTCTGGCTGTCAGAGACATCACCAAGCTCTGGATTTTCCTGTAGTAAAGCAACAACCAGAGGCTCAGGAGTGATTCCCACCTGGTACAGACCCAACAATGACACCAGTGACACCAGCAGAAACTGGAACAGCCATACCATCCTCCACATCAGCAGCTCTTCCCTCTTGCTTGTAAAAGATAAACTGACAAGAATCAGCTGGTCCCACAGCACCAGGGGCCACCAGATGTCCAGTACTGGGACAGCTGGGAAGCTGGGATTTGTATCTCAAGATGGAGAGCTCCCAACACCTGAGGGGTTCTTCATGTGCCTCTGGGTCTGTTTCATGTGCCTGACCTGTGCAGTCTGTGCTCTCCTGGCTGCCCTCCCAGTGCTGTGCTGACAATTCACACTCCAAAGTGGCCTTTCCAGCAGATATCCACCTTTTTGGATCGATTCCTCTGATCCAATCTGATTTCCTCCACCACCACCAACCAGCAGAGCTCCAGCTCAAGTCTGAGCATCACCTGATGCCCAGGCAGGTTACACCTGGATTTTTCTGCCTTGTGCAGCAATTTTATGGTGTTCCCTTAGCTGTAAATAATATTCCTCCCCCCAGGAGCTGAAAGGGTAAGAAAGGTATTCCCACCTGCTTACAAGGGCTGAAATCATGTCTCCTCATGCCCTCTGCAGGAGACCCCAAAACTCAGCCCAGATTTGCAGCTCCAGACTTGGCTGTGTAAATCTTGGCAGAAAACAGAACTGTGATCCAGCATCACCTCAGTCCCTGAAGCTTGCTCCCAGGATGTCACCACAGTGCCAGAGGAAACCCACCCAACCCTTAAAGCCCCACAGAGCAGTTTCTTGAAAAGAGAAGCTGAAGTTTTAACCTGTATTTTCAGCGTAAAGCCACATAAAACACTCTTGTTTCTGCTCTCACAGGAAGCATTTGTACCAAACTCCACAGGGAGATTCCTGAATCTCCCACCTCCTGTTTGATGCCTAGGGGGAAGGAAAGCTACCCCCTCAAAGTGCAGCTCAGATGCTTCAGGCACAGTTGAAATCCTCAACCAGTTGAAATGGCCTCCAGCTTCCTGCAAAGGCCCAGCTGGAATTTCAAAGGGAACAACCAACAATAGCTCTGGCTACTGCTGAAAACACAAGAGTTTAAGCCCCCAGCATTATCCCCCAAAGCCTTTTGTAAATCCAGTCTGTTCCAGGAAGCCCTGGATTACGTAACCCTCTGCGCCAGAGGGACAGGGAGCTGATGTCAAGGGCTATAATTAGTTACAAAAACACACAGCTCACCCCATTTCCTGTAAAAGGCAGCTTTCAGTTTGCTTTTGAAGCAACTCTTACACCAGTCACACAATTAAGCCCTGCCTTCAACACACAAGCTCAGCATTGTAGGGAAAAGTCACAGCTCAGGATCAAATATCCACTTTCAAGTGGCACCACATAAAAAATTAACCCTTCTCTAAACCACTCAACCCTGGAGTCAATCTGTGTCAAGTTCCATCACTTCTCCTGGGTATTTAGGGGGTCTCAAAGGTAACAAGGACATGAAGGGAAGCACAGCAGCTCTGATGTTTACTGAAAAGCACAAAAGCTGTTTCCCACATGGATGAGGAGTTTCAGACCTACACAAGTTACTCCCCTGGTGCTCAGGGGGGATCTGAGGGGCACCAGCTTGGGATTCTGAGCTCTGCCTTAGCCAGGTTCTAAGCTCAGTGACTGAAAGAAACTGAGAAGGATGTGGATGCTCCCAAATCTGAGCTTCAACCAGCAGTAAACCATGATTTTGCATGGGAACTCCCAGCAATGACAGATGCAATGTCAGCTCTAACAGGACAACCAAAGGATTTCTGGCTGCTGCTCTTTGTACTCACCCAACTTCCATCCAAAGGC